CCCTACAAGTCAAGGCTAGGCCCCAGTTGCCTTAGTGGAAGTTGGGACCACCTAGCATCGTCCAGTGGAAGGCACCAGAGAAAGAGAAAAGTGCTATCTTCCAAGCATCCTTCCTCCAATGCACTGAGGACGGCTGTGCAGAGCAGGGTGGAGGGAGGAGTTGTAGGGATTTCTATTCTCTGGGTGGTCACAGGAAGTTATTTTCCAGAGCTTTGCTGCAGGGGCAGCATTAGCTTTGGAGGCTGGACAAATCTTCCTTATGTGGATCTGTCCTATGTACTGCAGGAAAGTTAGCATCCCTGATGCTTGTCCACCAAAATGCCCAGGAGGGGACAAAGGCACCCCCAGCTGAGAATCATTGCTAGTCCATCCCTTCTTTTTTTGTTTTTTTGTTTTGTTTTGTTTTGAGATGGAGTTTCACTCTTGTTGCCCAGGGTGGAGTGCAATCACGTGATCTCGGCTCACTGCAACCTCTGCCTCCAGGGTTCAAGTGATTCTCCTGCCTCAGACTCCCAAGTAGCTGGGATTACAGGTGCCTACCACCACACCCAGCTAATTTTTTTTTGTATTTTTAGTAGAGATGGGGTTTCACTATGTTGGCCAGGCTGGTCTCGAACTCCTGATCCACCCATCTCGGCCTCCCGAAGTGCTGGGATTACAGGCATGAGGCACTGCGCCCAGCCCCATCCCTTCATTTTACAGTTGAAGAGAAATTCAGAAGAGCTCAGTGACTTCACCTCAGGTCACCCTTGCTCTGATGAGAGAGCAGGAACAAGCCTTCTGATTCCTGGTTAAGTTTTCTCTCTCTAAGTTCTGGGTCAATCAGTGGACTCTAAAGCAGGGTGGTGGTGCATCCCCAGGGACAGCAAGACAACCCACTGAGATGCCAGAAGAAAACACAAGAACTCTCTATTTCTGTTTTATCTCCTCCTTTAAAATTCTGTGAGATTTTATAATGTACATAATATATTAGTAGAGTAGCAGATGTATAATTTATAAATACATAAATATACATATATTGGTGCATGTTCAAATATTTTTAACTGATGGTATGCATGATCAAAAAGTGTAAAGACCACCACCCTAAACATGCTTATCTATTTCTAACTCTAAAAAATTTGCCAAATTGCCCTGATTTGTTTTACTATTTTGTTTTCCAGGAGGAAACCTGGAGGGTATTATTTTAAGAAAAAGATAAGGTGGGCTTGAAATGCTGCCAAATTGGAAGCTTCTAGAAGGCAGATTATCAAACAATGCAGCCCAACTCCACATTATCAGCCAGGGTATTTTGGTCATTTTATCAGTCAAATCAGATTAACCATTTGTCAACCCACTCCCCACTTTGGTATTCAATCCAGAAAACCAAATCTATCGGTCCTATCTTACTGAAAACACAATCTGGAATTGTCAGAGGAAATAAGGGAGTGAGAAAAGAGGAGGTAAAAGGAGCGGGAGCTACCTCCAGAGAGGTGCTCACTAGTTAAATATTTCCTCTCCTTTTCAATCTGTTTCACCTACTCTTGAACCAGAGCTTAAATTACTTCAAACTTCAGAGAGGTTCCCCTTAACCCTACCCTGCTGTGTGAGATGAAGAAGTACATGCAAGGATAAAAGTGGCTTCCTCTAAACGATTAAAAATTCACCTTGTAGATTCAACTGTCTGTGCTTACACTAGAACTAGGCACTCTCCACTGAGCCTTAATCAGCAAGAGGGAGATGCAGGAAAATCAACATTTTGATGAAAAGAGATCCCCTGAATCCTGGGTTGGGACAGGTATTTAAATTTTCTAAAACATGCTTACAGAAATTGCCTGATGATCAGGTTGTCCCTGGAGAGGGGAAAAAACAGAGGCAACTTGAAGAGTAAAAACAAAAACTTGCATGAATAAAACAAATCTGTACAGCACCTGCCCCTTTTGCCATGCACAGCCAAGGGCAGCAAACACACATCTTTGAAGTATGAATCATACTGACCACTTACTAAGCTCTCATTCTGTGCCAGGCATCGTGCTGAAGGTTCTACAATCATGACCTTATAACTCACATCTTTATCTATAGAATGATATGATATAGTACAGAGTTCCTAAAACTTTCTCTGTTCTTGCCACCCTTAGTGTGTCAGTAATATTTATAGCATCTCAATGCCAAAAGAAATGCCCATTTATTAAGTAGTTATATCCAAACAACTTGGTAATAATAGTTGATATGGTTTGACTCTATGTCTCCACCCAAATCTCACCTTGAATTGTAATAATCCCCATGTGTCAAGGGTGGGACCAGTTGGAGGTAACTGAATCATGGAAGTGGCTTATCCCATGTGATTCTCATGATAGTGAGTGAGTTCTCACAAAAGCTGATGATTTTATAAGGGGCTTCCCCCGTCACTCAGCACTCATTCCCTCTCCTGCTGCCCTTTGAAGAGGTGCCTTCCGCCATGATTGTACGTCTCCTGAGGCCTCCCCAGCCATGCAGAACTGTGAGTCATTTAAACCTCTTTTCTTTATAAATTACCCAGTGTCAAGTGCCTTTATTAGCAGCGTGAGAATGGACTAATACAGTAATTCACACAGATGTTGCTGTTTTCCTCAAAAATGTTAAATATTCTACTGTGCCCCTGTGAGCCTGCTGCAGAGCCCTGGAGCACCCTGGCACACGGTTTGGGAACCACAGACACACTATGATATAGATATTTTTGGGATCCCTGTTATGTCAATGAGGAAACTGAGACCTATAAGGTTAAGCAGCTGTTTTGTTGAAATGCAGAAATCTGAACACAAGTCCATCAGAATCCAGGACACATTCTGCTATATCAGACTCCTCCCACTCCCTTGCTGAATCACTGCCTTTATGTGTAGTCATGATTTCCTCTTTTCATTCTGTTTATTCTGCAACTCTCCCCACCCCCAACCCTCCCTACCCCCAAACACACACACACACACACACACACACACACACACACACACACACACAGAGAGAGAGAACAAGAGAGAGAGAGAGGCATGTGTGGACACATTCATGCTCATTCATTCCCTGGGCTCAAACCATTCCAACTGGGATGTCCCTCCCTTGAGTCTGCCTTTCCAGAAAGTTCCTGCTTCAGTCCTCAGTCCCAACTTTCACCTCTTGACCACTTGTTCCCACACTCACCTCTCCCTCTTCAAACCTTGTCTACTAAGCAGCATGTTAATAACAACATCTGATCTTATGTTGCTCCCTAATTGTTTTATCTGTGTGGATGTGGTTTTCAGAAGACGGAAAGCTGCCCCCAAACAGGGACTGTGTGTTGTCTTATGTTGGGCATAGAGTAGCCCCTATGCAAGTTTGTCAAAATTGGCAAGATGATCAAATGCAGAATTTGATAGTGTACTCTAATGCCTAGATGCTGATAATGGAGAGAATGTATTAACATATAAGTCATCGGGAATGATAACTACCACCCACATGGCTTTTATTTGGTCCTCACAAGAGAATAATTATTACACCTCTATCACGGAAAAAAAGTTGAAGTTTAGACAGTTTAAGTGACTCTGACCAACACTACCCAACCTGTAAATGGAAGAAACAAGCCTAAAAGTCCAGAGTGCTGGTCTCCCTCCCAGCCCTGTTTTGGGTTTATACAGCAGTGACCTTCAGAGAGATGCCAATTTTCAGCCCAGGTTCTGTGATGGGCAGGATATCAATTTCAGAGGCACTGCCTAGACTCAAAGGCATGTGTCACTCTTGATACCTGAACTAGGTTCCAGGTCAAGCAGTGAGCCCTGCAGGACACCAGGCTGGGGTGGCTGGGGATACTACTAGGGACAATCAGGCTTCTTGGTGAGGTCAATGAGCTTATTGAAAGTTCCAACCCATCTCCCTCTCTTCAGACAGGGTAAACTATAGAGGCTGAGGTTGACAGCTTCTGCGGCCAATGCTGGATGCTTAAGCAAAAGTCTATTTTGAGCTTAAATGCATGTCATACAAAAAAAAAAGCAAGCTGGAAATGTGCATCTATTCCTTCTGAGTCATGAGAGCTTTGGTAGAACCAGCAAGGGCAGGGGCTCAGAGGTCAGTCAGCTCTGAGTTTACAGTTGATGCTGTTACTCACTAATGTATGATTTGAGGAAAGTTACTTCACCTCTCCGAGTCTCAGCGTCCTTGTCCATAAAATGAGGTCATAGGATAGTTGTGAAGAGTAAGTGGCAAAGCAAATGTAAAGCAAAAGGTGGTGGCTGCCAGGTAACAGATGCTCAATAAGTGATAGTTCCTTATCATGGATGACAAACAGGTCTCTCTCAGGTGCTGCCGCCAGAAGGCACAGATCAAACAGGAGCTAGCACCACCACCACCGTTATAATAGTGTTATGAGCACTGGTGCTAACTCCTTGTAGAGCAATTCCAAAGGCTCTAGCCTGAGGTTGTGGCAGAATGAGGAAGGGGAGTGAAAGAAAAGAAAATACAAGATGCCTAAGGCCAAAAATTCACTCAAGAGACCTTGACGAGAAACAGGAAAGAAAATAGATGAGGACCCAACAATTGGCTAGTGGAAGGACGGGGTGCTGGGCTTGAAAAAAAAATAAACAACTTGGACCATTTAAATATACATTTCAAATTACATCCTCTTCTTCTGCATTGTGTCTTCAGGCAGCTGGGAAGATACAAATGCGTCATATTTATGTATAAAGCTTTTATTGGGATTAAGAAAAAAAACAGAACTGAACTTTATGAAGAAAAGAAGGGGAAAAACCAGCTGTAAGGTGGCAGTTTTCTTGCATGATAAAATAGGGTTGAGTCCAGGATGGAAGCATTTACACCAGGACCCTTTCGTCAGATGCCTGTTTTCCAGAGATGTAGATGGCATGGTTCAGAGGAAATGTACATGGATGACATTGGGAAATCCTAACGGACTATTGGAAGCATTAGTTATTATTACATGTACAGTAGCACACACACCAAATCAGCAAGCCACCCGAATAGCGCCCACGTGCTTTTGAGGGGGCTGCCAGGATGGAGAAACTCACCGTGGTCGGGATGTCCCGGCTGAGAGGCACGCTGTGCGACTGCTCCTGCAGGGATTTATCTGCGCCAACCTCAGAGTAAAAGACCTTGAAAAGATGCAGACACCCCGGTGAGAGCAGAGCCCGTGCTTGTGTAAGATCAAAGGTTGTAATTGCACTCACAGTGGCAGCAGGCTCTGAGGTGCGTCGCCTAACGTCACGTGCACTAGTTCTGCGGGAACACACATCAGACCTACTTGGATTGGGTAGGGGGTGTTGCAAACTCAGAAGCCTGCGGAGTCCAGGAGGAAGACACATATCAATGAAGTGAGATGCAGAGGTCTGGACATGGCTCTTGTTATTTTTGCCAAAATGCATGAGCCGCCCGGGTAATCTTTCATTTTCTCACTTTCAATAAGACATGAGTCCAGAGATATATTCCTCTACTTTTAGAAAACAATAGGATGAGGGCCATTATCAATGGCTACTGTCCCTCGGTGAAATGGAGACAGCAGCAGGTGGTGGGATTGGGGTGTTACTGAGGTCTTACAGCTCATCTAAAATGAGCAGCTCAGTTCCAGCAGGTGGATAGGAATGTGGACCCAGTGTGGCCAGCTCGCCCCATATCCCAGAGAGTTCACAATTCCAAACATTTATGTGAAATGTCTTGACTTCTCAATGTTGACTCATTTCTAAAAACACTATTCAAAGAAAACATTTTGGTGAAAAGATATCAGCCCAATTTGCAGCCTCTGATAGGTAAGAATGCATTCTCTGCTGCTTCCTCCATCTTGCCTACCCACCTTCTTACTTTACATTATTTTGTACTTATTGACAACATTCCACAGTGATTTCCTCTTTCCCATGTTCATACTTTATTCTCCAGATTTGACTATAGGCAATTGAATAGCAACAACCACATCCTTTTAGTCTATATTTTCCCACAGCTGAACAGAGAAACGACTGGATAGATCATAAGTGAGTAATGCAGATGTGATGTCACATTCAGGGCATTTACAAATATCTTCAAAGGGGGACATCTCTTCTAGCTTTATGGAGGGAGAATGGGGCAGTTACTGATATGGAAGGACAGATATCTAGAAAAAGCAAGGATGAGAAAGACATACAGTCACACAACACACCCACTGAGGAAACTCCCGTGCCCGTGGACTCACAGTGTACCCAAGGATGGTGCTCCCAGGATGCCTTGGCATTTTCCACTGGATGCTGAAAGCCGTACAGTTCAATGCGCCCAGCTTGATGTCAAGAGGAGCCCCTACCTTGCCTGCCCCCAAACAAAAGAGATTGTGTTAGAAGCTCCACACATGCCACCTTGAGTATACTTACACAAGATTTAAGAGTGCGTTCTCTGATAGATGAAAAGCCTACTTAAAGATAATTCCAGAAATGCAGTCAATTTCTGATACACCACACCTATCTCAGCTGACCTCACTCACTTTGCTCTCCCCTCCCAACCTGGCATCAGTAGATAAATCAGTCCAGCTATTGCCCTCATTCTCTCAGGTAACTTCTAATAGGTCAGGGACCAGCAAAGGGAGATTCAGGGTAGCATAGACCACAAATACTTCTGACTTGACTCTAAAAACTTAAATGTATTAAAGTAAGATGACAGGCACATTTGTATTTACTCAATAGCATATATGTTGTATGTATACATTATATAGATGTGTTCGCTTATATAGCTAGGATATTCCTATTGTGGGACATTTCAAAAATATAGTTATGTATAAAATGAAGTTTAAAAATTTCAAATGCTTTACTACCTATTTATCTTAAGTAACTTCATAGTTATAGATGATAAGATTTATAATTATAAAATAATATATACAGGTTGCCACAATTTAGAAAACATAAAACATTATATCTAATTCTAACGTTCAGAAATGAGTCCTGACAGCATTGTGGTATATCTCCTGTTGGTCACGTGCAATTTAAAAAAACTGTGTGTGTGCGCGCGTGTGTGTGCTTCTATACAGTTGACATCCCTTATCTGAAATTTCAGATTTTTTTGGATTTTGGAATATTTGCAATATACTTAACTGTTGAGCATCTCAAATTCAAAATGCTCCAATGGGCAGTTCCCTTGAGTATCATACTAGTGCTCAAAAAGTTGGATTCTGGAGCAGTTAGGGTTTCAGATTTTTGGATTTGGGATGCTCAACTTTGTGTGTGTGTGTGTGTGTGTGTGTGTAACTTTTTTTTTTTTTTTTTTGACACGGAGTCCCGCTCTGTTGTCCAGGCTGGAGTACAGTGGCATGATCTCGGCTCACTGCAAGCTCTGCCTCCCGAGTTCATGCCATTCTCCTGTTTCAGCCTCCTGAGTAGCTGGGACCACAGGCGCCTGCCACCACACCTGGCTATTTTTTTGTATTTTTTAGTAGAGACGGGGCTTCACTGTGTTAGCCAGGATGGTCTCGATCTCCTGACCTCGTGATCCGCCCGCCTTGGTCTCCCAAAGTGGGAGGATTACAGGCATGAGCCACCACACCTGGTCATATGTATGTAATTTTTAAATTGTTCTGTTATGTATAGTGATTATGTATATATACATACATGTTAATAATTTTAAGTCTTATTTGACTTAGTATATATATAGTACAAACAGCATATTTACAATCATTAAAATCATTATTTTTAATGGCTGTAAATTTTTCCATATAACACATGTGCCATAATAAACAGCATTTGTCATCCCACAATTATTAGGCAATTTATTCCCAATATTTTGCTGTCTTAAATAATGCTCCATAAAGGCAGGGACCAGGTCTATCTTGTTCAGAGTACAGAAACTAGTCATGGCAAAAGCACAATAAACATTCCTTAAGTGAATGAACATTCTGCAGCTTGATTTTCCACTTACTAATATGTTCTGGTGAGCTTTCTTTTTAACTATTGCATGTAATTCTCCAGCTTATCAGTTAGGATCCTTTGCAACTCACAGAGATCTAATGTATCTATTTAAAGGACTGCTGCTAGGGCTTGTCATCAATGTTCTTAATAACAGAAACCAAAGTTTTTCTAATGGATTGAGAAATAGAAGAAGCCCAGCGCTGTCAGCAGGAACCATGAGGCCAAAAGTCAGCTCCCCTCTGCCCCATATACACCTACGATTGTCACCACTCAGAGATTTAATTCTTAACGATCTCTCTCACTCTGCCATAAATCTGTTCACGATTTAATGTCTCATCTGATTGGCTAGACTTAGGCCACGTGGCTTCCTCTTAGCTCAACCAAGCGGCAGGAAAGAGTAGTCCTTTCTGGTTTCTAAACTGGGAAATGACAGGATGAGACCAGTTCTGGGAATTGTTCTTCCACTAAGCCCATCCACCGCAAAGAAGGAACCCCGCAGGACGTTAGAATCATAGAAAAGAGTAGTGGGAAATTGGATGGCCGAAACTCTGCTTTTCAGAGCATGCGTGTACATTAACTATTACTCCATTGATTGACATTGCAGTTATTTTCAAAATATCACTGGTAAAAATAATGCTGAAAAGAACATCTATGTATGTGCCTTTTTGCGCACATGTGTCAGTGTTTCTAGGATGGATACCTGTAAAATTTATCGAGTATAATACATTTTCATTTTTACTACTAGTGACTTATTGCTCTCTCCAAAAGAGTAAATGAATAAATCTTTAGGTGCATTCAATTATTTATTTGGGTAAATCCAGAGCTCTTGTGTCTAAGATGGTATCTCGACCCTAACACTATTGACATTTGGGGCTGCCTAGTTTTTGTGGGGGCTGCCCTTTTGAATTATAGGATGTTGAGCAGCATCCCTGGTCTCTACCCACTAAATGACAGTAGTACTCCCCAACCCATTGTGAAAACTAATAGCATCTCCACACATTACCAAATGTTCCCCAAGGGGCAAAACTGCTCCCAGTTGAGAACCACTGATTTAAGGGAATGAATATTTTAAAGATTTCTAATAAATATCATCAAACTTACATTTAGAAAATTAACCAATTTAGAAGTTTATAGTGGGGTATGAGATGTATAAGTAACAGTGTAAAGTAACACAGCCCCATCAGGTCTTACTACTACCACTTTTTAAATAATTTTTGCTCAGCGAATGAAAACAATTTTTTTAAAAAAGCCTCAGACTAGGAGAAAATATTTGCAAAAGAAATATCTGATAAAGGTCTGTTATCCAAAATATGCAAATGCTATAGAGAAAACATTTATTTTCCTTCTAAAATTTATCCTAAATTTCTAGAATTTCTTCTATTTATCCTTCTAAAATTCATATGTTAAACTCTTATTCCCAATGTAATCATATTTGTAGATGTGACCTTTGGGAGGTGATTAGGTCATGAGGGTAGAGCCCTCATGAACATGACTAGTTCCCTTATAAAAGATACCCTAGAGAGCTCCCCCTCCCCTTCTGCTATGTGAAGACACAGCAAGAACACAACTGTCTATGAGCCAGGAAGTGAGCCTTCACCAGACACCAAATCAGTTGGTGCCTTGGTCTTAGACTTGTCTGCCTCCAGAACTGTGAAAAATAGATTTCTGTTGTTTATAAGCCACCCAATCTATAGTATTTTGATATAGCAGCCAAACAAACTAAGATAACACAGAACTCTTAAAACTCAACAGGCCGGGTGTGGTGGCTCATGCCTGTAATCTCAGCACTTTGGGAGGTCAAGGCAGGTGGATCACCTGAGGTCAGGTGTTCGAGACTAGCCTGGCCAACATGGCAAAACCCCATCTCTACTAAAGATACAAAAATTAGCTGGCTGTGGTGGCAGGAGCCTGTAATCCCAGCTACTTGGGAGGCTGAGGCAGAAGAATCACTTGAACCCAGAAGGCAGAGGCTGCAATGAGACAAGATTGTGCCACTGCACTCCAGCCTGGGCAACAAGAGCAAAACTCCATCTCAAAAAAAAAAAAAAAAAAAAACACCTCAACAATAAAAATAAACAAACAACCTGAGTGAAAAATGGACCAAAAGATTTCATGGCAAAGACACCAAAAGCAATCACAGCAAAAGCAAAAATTGACAAATGGAATCTCATTAAACTTAAGAGCTTCTGCACAGCAAAATAAACTATCAGCAGAGTAAACAGACAATCTACAGAGTGGAAGAAAATATTTGCAAACTATGAATCTGACAAAGGTCTAATATCCAACGTTTATAAGGAACTTAAATTTACAAGGGAAAAATAACCCTATTAAAAAGTAGACAAAGGACATGAACACACACCTCAAAAGAAGACATACAGGCGACCAACAAGCCTATGAAAAAGAGCCCAACACCACTGATCATTAGAAAAATGCAAATCAAAACCATAATGAGACACTATCTCACACCCAGTCAGAATGGCTATTATTAAAAAGTCAAAAAATAAAGATGCTTGCAAGATTGTAGAGAAAAGGGAACCCTTATACACTGTTCGTGAGAATATAAATTAGTTTAATTATTGTGAAAAGCAGTATGGCAATTCCTCAAAGAGCTAAAAGCAGAACTACCATTCGACTCAGCAGTCCCATTACTGGGTATACCCAAAGGAATATAAAGCATTCTACCATAAAGACACATGCATGTGAATGTTCATTGCAGCACTGTTTGCAATAGCAAAGGCATGGAATCAACCTAAATGCCCATCAATGACAGACTAGATTTAAAAAATGTGGTACCTATACACCATGGAATATTATGCAGCCATAGAAAGAACGAGATCATGTCTTTTGTGGGGACACGAATGGAGCTGGAGGATATCATCCTTAGCAAACTAATGCAGGAACAGAAAATCAACTACCCTATGTTCTCACTTATAAGTGGGAGCTGAATAATAAGAACTTAGGAACATAAAGAAGGAAACAATAGACACTGAGGTGTTGGAAACAGGCCCCCAAATCTGGCCATAAACTGGCCCCAAAACTGTCCATAAACAAAATCTCTGCAGCACATGTTCACGATGGCCATGACGCCCACGCTGAAGGTTGTAGGTTTACCGGAATGAGGGCAAGGAAGACCTGACCCATCCAGGGCAGAAAACCTCTTAAAGGTGTTCCTGAACCACAAACAATGGCATGAGCGATCTGTGCCTTAAGGATATGTTCCTGCTGCAGCTAACTAGCCAGAGCCCATCCCTTTATTTCGGCCCATCCTTTTGTTTCCTGTAAGGAATACTTTTAGTTAATCTATAATCTATAGAAATAATGCTTATTACTGGCTAGATGTCAGTAAATATGTGGGTAAATCTCTGTTTGGGGCTGTCAGCTCTGAAGGCTCTGAGTCTCCTGATTTCCCACTCC